CCTTTATTAATCAGGGGCAACCACAGCGGAATGAACCGTCCACAACCCAACACTGGGAAACAGCCATACACTCCCTCATTCACACTCATACACTATGGCCAATTTAGCTTATTAAATTCACCTCTACCACATGTCTTTGGACTGTGGGGGAAACCAGATCATCCGGAGGAAACCCACGCAAACTTGGAGAGAACATTCAAACTCCACACAGAAACGCCAACTAACCCAACCAGGGCTCAAACCAGCGACCTTCTTGCTGTGAGGCGATTGTGCTACCCACTGCGCCACCGTGATGCCCTGGACTTGAAATCTCACATTTAAATTGTTCAGCTTCTCTTAATATGGTTGATATGGTCATCCCTTTGGCCTATTCCATCTCAACAACCTACCCACATAGCAAAATATCTCTGATCCAGCTCTGGCCCACATAATCAGCTTGGCCCACATGATGCAGAGAATTACATACATGACTGGACCAAGTCTGGCTTCCTGACAAGGGCCAAACATGGACAAGTTAATAACCCATAACTGAGCCTGAAATGGGTCAGATATAATGTGTCACAACTTCCATGAAATTGATAAACCCATGAATCATTGCACTTTAGGCATGCTATGGGCTGATTGATAGATTGTTTTGTGTGTATTTAATTAATTAAATTTCTTAAATTAATAAAAATTTATTTTAAGCATGGGTCAAGATAGGCCAAACTTACATGGCCCACATATTAATTAACATCTGGGCCAAGTCTTGTGTGCACCTTAAAGATGAAGCTACTTCTGCTAAACCAGGGGTATGTTTGGCCCACATGCTGAATGCTAGTGCCGGATGAATGCCTGCTGTGCCAGGTTTATACCAAATCTGGGCCAGAATTTCTTGCTACCTGGGTACTGTTGGAGGGTTTCAGTCACTTTGGAACACTTTAGCTCCAACACTCTTTAGCTCTAACACCAATAACCGATATGTTTCTTAAAGTACTCTCTAATTTTAATCAGTGTTGTTTTTCAAATATTTAATTTTACTTTTTAATTTACAAACATTATGCATTGAGCTGATGAAATTGGCTGATTAGGTATCTGGCTTATGTCAGTATGTGTATGTACAGTATACACATACTGACAACAGACTGAGGCATCATTCAGAGAACATACTGCTAATTATCAACATGTAAAACTCAAGCAAACAATTCAAGCCTACACAAATATATCCCCTTTTCTGTCTGCAGTTCTTCCACAGACTTACACAACACACCACTGGAAGAACAAACCATTGTCAGATTAGTTGATTTTGTAATGTTTCAGAATGTCTTCTTCTGCAACACTTTAGAGGGCACTGGATGTCTCTGTTAGATCACAGAGAAGCGAAAAAGACTCCCATCCCTCTGGCCTGGTTATATAATAACCAAGAGAGAATGTTTTTTTCAGCGTCAGCTCTGTGATGTTGCACATCACTTGAATTTGTTGGGTTTCGGCTTCCATCATCCTCGTCAAAGATGAAACCCGACAAAAAATCCTGCTTCTCCTCCTTTTCAAGGCACGGCAACGGATCAATCCGTAATGCTCCGGTGCAGATTAGTCTTTGTAATTATTTGAGATCTCATTATCAAACAGCTGCTCTACCTAATTTAATCAATATTTAGAGATAAGACATCCAGCATGCGTTCGGCTGCAGAGACATTAAACAGCCCATTCTCTTTAAGTAGGTCAACATGCAGGGTTTTCCTTCAGAGTTATGTAACTTCAGGCTTCTGGACTACAAATACTCAAGAGAACGAGGGATATTTTTAAGAATGCATACGCCTGGATTGTGAACTTCTCATTTTATTGCTGCTGCAATAGGATTAGATTTTCATTGCATCGCAGATATACTTCTGTGGCATTAATAGAGCTTTTGGTGTATCTGGTAAAATTAACTCTTATCTTTCACGCACATTATTTGACCTGTCTTACCTCAATCGCTTGAGAATATTGTTTTTGACCGTATGTTGACTTTATTAACACCATCTCTTCCTAAAACCACTAGGTCCCTTGACAAAACCACAAATCCTCAACATATAGACTGCTTCCTAATCAGAAGTGCACAGCTTGGTTTTCTGTCACAAAACGTCACTGGTCCGCCATGACCCCATTTAACCTTTCTATTCAAAACAGCGAAAATCCCTTAAGCAAACTCTAGTCTCATATCTCTTCTGTGCAGCCTCTTTAACAGCACCCTTGGAAAAGGAATCAAGAAAGAGCAAAACAGCAGGATTTAAATCTCAACCTGAAGTTACATTATATTTTAGACGCTTCTTCCACAGTAATCGTAACAAAATGTGGTTCTTCAGAATATGAGACACAAGCTATGCTGGTGTTAATCCTGTACAGAGTTTTATTGGTCTATATAGCTCCAAAATGAATGAGACATGAATGTTCATATGAACAAAATGCAGTCGCCTGTAAGTCTCGGTTGTACCTGAGAGAAAATGATGGAACGGCTTCATCTGCTCTGCATTATAGCTTTGGTCTATGTGAAAGGTCTTTGTATTGATCTACTGTATATAGTCGATATTCATAACCTGCAATGATAACACTGTCTCTCCAGAGCCCGAGATGTCAGAAGGAATAAGGTCAGCGTCTGTGTCTGTCTGTTGGTGTAATGTACTGCGAAAAAAAATCTTCATTTTATTTTTCTTTATTAGGGAAAGCAAATACTGTTTTGTTTCAAAATAAATATATAATAATAAAAGACAGAGTGCTATGTAATTGTCAATAAATATAATATGTAATTGTCAATAAATCATTTGAAAAACTGAATACATTGTTGACATTATAAAACAAGACAATCATACGTTAAATAATGTAAGCCATACAATAGAAAATCATGATTTTGTTTCGTAAGTAAATTTAGCTTTCATGAATTTTACATTTGCTTGTTAAAAATGTTTTAAATTTGTCTCCAAAGCATCGTTTATTTAATAAAAATCACAGTAATATATTATTATATATTATTACCATGTTAAATAAACAAACTTTATACTATATTAATAAACAAACATACTTTATAGCTACATTTTAAAGTATATAGTATTCAGTCTCACAAATCCTTCAGATGGGATGATTATAAACATAATAATTCAATAACTCTATGTTATTTACTAATAATAAGGTCACATATATACTGTCATAAAGGTTTTGTTCACTGTTTATTTTTTACATTAAATACATTAGAACTAAATTGCCTGTAGTGTATGAGTGCGTGTATAATTGTGAAAGTGTATGGGTGTTTCCCAGAGCTAGGTTGCAGCTGGAAGGGCATCTGCTGCGTAAAAAATACGCTGGAATAGTTGGTGGTTCATTCTGCTGTGGTTACCCCTAATAAATAAGTAACTAAGCTCGAGGGAAATGAAATAAACTAAATACATTATTTTAAAGTAGGCCTACAGTTAATATGTATTATTAACATTATCAACACATTGTGGCAAACTTGATTGTCTTGAATAAATATTTTTGTAAAACTGACAATCAGTTTTTCAATCATGGCTAGATGGTTAAAAGTCGTGAATTTTATCTCTTCGTATATACATTCAAAGCATTGTCTTATTACAAAGCTTTATCTTACCTTCTGGTTTTTAAAATAAACCATTTGTAACCTTTATGTCTTCGTGTGTGTGTGTCTGTTCAATGATGTCTTTCACCAATCTACCGTTCATGTAAGGAGAGTGTCGGCCATGTTGTCCTCCGACGGGGGAGCAGGTGTGTTTTCCAGCGCATTACACACACACTCTGATGAGAAGAACACCACGCAGCAGCAGGTGTCTCATTTCACACTACAACTCTCTCTCTCTCTCTCTCTCTCTCTCTCTCTCTCTCTCTCTCTCTCTCTCTCTCTCTCTCTCTCTCTCATACACACACACACACACACACACACACACACACACGAAGATTATGAATGGAGAGATGGATAGAGAAACAGAAACTAAAAAAAAGTGGCACATGAGTTAGTGTAAAACCGTTAAAGGAAAGAAAAAAGAAAAGAAACTAAAGAAACGTACTGTATAAAGAAACTCAAAAACCACAAAGCAGAAACCACGAAAAGCTTCCTGACAAGTTCCTGTCCAAAATATCTTCTCGGAAGCCCATCTCAAAATGGGTGTAGTTATATAATACATCTGTTTTAGCACTTAGGACTGTTTGAAATTGATGCAATGCATTAAAGTAAACATGTTAATATATTCGTTTTAATATATTTGTTGTCGATTACTGGAGACTCAAAATAGAAGCAATTAAGCCTATTAAAATTAAACATACTTTAAATTTAGGTTATAAAATGGTCCATCTAGACACAATTAGGCTATACCACCCGCAAATGATCGTTACAAATGTCCTTTATAAGTTTATGTTTAATGTAATATTGGATTACTGGTGCATTCTCTATCATATAACTCCATCTGGTGGTCATTGTTGAATCAGCATTTTGTAAAAGCCATAAAAGAAGTTCAGTATACTGTATATCTTTATTCATTCATTTATTTTCCTTTCGGCTCAGTCACTTGATTAATCTAGGGTCGCCACAGCGTAATGAACCGCCAACATATCCAGCATATGTTTTACACAGCGGATGCCCTTCCAGCTGCAACCCATCACTGGGAAAAGGATATACATCTGAATCTGATAATTAATTAAATGCCATAAAGCACGCTGCAGTCTGCTTACTTGTGTTTAAAATACTACTGTTAATTCTTCTCAATTGCTTTTAAAATAATTAAGTTCCTGCATGGTAAAAATAAACTGCCAGGTGTTTTTGAAACTGACCTGAAACAGGTTTGCTTGTGGTTAAAGCAGTCACTCTGAAATTATGATGTTTAAATATGATGTATCAAAATATCTTAACTACATTGTTAATATACTTAATTTGGCTTACTTTGTCTTTGCGACTTACTATTATAAATAAATACAATACATTATTGTACAATACAAAAATCTAATTCCATGTAAAAAAAAAAGAATAACACACAACTTGATTTTACAGTTGTAAATATGTTTATTTAATTGTAAAAATAATGAATACAAATTACAAAAATATATTCTTGATAAAATCTGTGACCCAGAATAAATGTATTTCAAAAGACAGAAAGAGAGAGAACATCTACATTCAGCGTGAAAAGGTCATGAATTTAATTTTGGACTAACAGCATAAAAAATATCTGTAAACTTAACACTTTTCCGTATTTTGTGACTCATATTTGTATTTTTTCCTATTTTTGTATGCTTTTAAATTGCATTTTGGGACCTTGATCTTTCTTCTGACAACTTTTAACCTTAAAGAGTTTGAAAAGGTGACTCTTATTAACATTTTTAATAGTTAAGGTGCACATTTGGGATGATGTTTTATATTACAGACCAAAAACCTTGTAATAAACTGCCAGTAGATTTTCTGTTATTTTACAGATTTAATTGTCTGTTTCTTAAACATTACTTTAAACTTTTAAAATGTCAATAAAAGTCACTTTATTAAACTGTAGAGTTGAATTTTCAACATCAAAAATCGACAGAGCAAAGATAAATGTCCCATAATGCAAATCACAATCTTAAATAAACAAAAATAACACAACATATGGAAACTGTTAATGATAAGAAAGTATTAACATTTTTACAGTGTTTTTATCAGCTGACACAGGTCCAAATTTACATTACTGAAACTAAAACTATCACTTTTTACTTATGTTTAGTTCTGTCTGCGTCTTTTTCTCTGATTTATGTTGTTGTTTGGATTTGGCGATGCTTTTAAATCAGAGTTTTGTTTTCTCAGCTTCTTCTGGTCCACCTTTCTCATAGTCTTTTTGATCCATTCCGTGTTGGGATCACAACAAATCCTTTTGCCTTTTACAGTGACCAAACTATTGAAGAAAAAAAAAGATTGTTAAAAAGGATTTCAAGACTTGAGTGCTAGATTTCGTGTAAGATCCAATGTAAGATCCAGAATGTCAGCTCCTGTCAAATTCATAATGTGAAAATCTGTTTACTTACATAACGGCTTCGATAGGGCAAATTCCTGGTTGCTGGACTCTATAATCCACAACTCTCTTTATAGGTATGCTGCTCTTGCTGGTCCTCAAACAACAGTTTAAACGCACGCTAGTTGCTGCAAGACAAAGAAATGACAATCATATTTCTTTACAATTACAACATTAAGCCACAGTTTAACTTTAGATTTATTTAAGATTTTTTAACTTTAGATTTTATTTATCTCAGACATGATGACTGTGTAAATATAGAAAGCATGACTACACTCACCTGCATTATAGCAGAGCAAAACCAGCACAAGGCAGAAAGGAAAACCGATAGTTGAACTCATCACGACTGTGCAGACAGACTGACTGAAACTCTTTACACAATCTAAATATTTCACACTTTCACTTCCTCCACTCTTCACACACACACACGCACGCACACTCACAAACCTCAACCCACCTCCCCAATGGGGAAAGTGTATATGTAAGAGAGAGTATGCTAAAGAAGTAAGCCTCTTTGAGTGTTTGAGTGGAAAAAGGCGCTAGTGATGATATGACAGTCTGGTCACCCACGCAGCTCGCCACAATGTGGGTGCAAACACTAGATGATGAATGAAGCTACTCTGCAAGTATACATATCCAGCAATAGATCAGAATTGTTCAGCTCTGTGATGTCAGAAAGTGAACTTTTGAGATTTACAATACATGTGAGATCCTTTTGTATTTACATGCAATGTTTCATATATGGAGACTATAAATTAGAGAACAGTTTTATTTTTTTATTTAGATTTTTAAAATTTGGAAATTAACAGTTTCCTAAATTTTGGGATCACGTCTTAGTCATATTTTATAGTTACCTTAAGATAAGTTGTTTAACAATTGTTTAAGAGTTAAAAATAGATTCTGAAGTATGTACAGTGGTACGGAAAGAATTCAGACCTCATAATTTTTCCACTCTGTCATATTGCAGCCATTTGCTAAAATCAAATTTTTTTCCTCATTAATATACACACAGCACCCCATATTGACAGAAAAACACTGAATTGTTCACATTTTTGCAGATGGTCCCAAAAATTCAGATGCTTTGCTCAGTATTTAGTAGAAGCCCCCTTTTGATCTAACACAGTCATGATGAGTCTTTTGGAGAAAGATGCAAGTTTTTTTCACACCTGAATTTGGGGATCTTCTGCCATTTATCTTTGCAGATCCTCTCCAGTTTTGTCAGGCTGGATGGTCAATGTTGGTGGACAGCCATTTTTAGGTCTCTCCAGAGATGCTCAATTGGGTTTAAGTCAGGGCTCTGGCTGGGCCATTTAAGAAGTGTGGGGATGGTGTACAGTTTAACCCAAAGAATGACCAGTCAGTCAGATGAAGAAGAGCCGGAGTCAGAGATTCAAATAAATAAATTAAGTTTACTGAAGATCTGCAGAAGCCAGCTTCAACCCTCGCAATGAGTTCCTAGGCCGCTCTGCTTACAATCACCAATCAATAACAATTATACTCTCACATAACGTCATTAACTGCGTCATACATATAGTTGTTCCAACCTGATTGGTTAAAACACAGATAGACTAGAAAAATGTCCACGTGGGGTTTGTGTGTATATTCTGAACAATATGTTAAGCATAAACGTCAGACATCCCTTAGACTGATTAGAGCTGACTGCAGACCTGTGAAACGGATCAACAATTAAATAGAACACACACACTTAAAGTATATATTGTTTCTTATCCAAGGCTGAGTGTACTCTCAGCCATCTTTATCAAAACTGGTTAAAAACCGGTATAATCTACATTCAGGCAGTTATATCCTCACTACATGAAGTCTATCTTGAATAAAAGTAGAATAACTAGGTTAAATAAAGAATTAACTGTAAAAATGGCAAAATCCCTTTAGACATTTTAGATAGTATTAACTCATAGAAATAACAATAGAAACAGTTGATTCCAGTCCTCAGCCCTCACTTCCAATCAAGGTCGCCGTGACCTCTGACCTAGTTTGGTGGCTTCTGAAAATAGTTATAAAGAGACAGGCAAATGCAGTGAACATTCTTATATTAAGCATTCTTATGTGTTAACTTATTAAATAAAATCAATTCACAGTTAAATACTCATTCAAATTATCAAATAATTATATTTAATAAAAACAAATGATAAGAAACAGGATGATGAAAAGTATAAACGTTTGCCCATGATGAGACGGACTGGAAAGCAGAAATCTGAATTCTTCAGAAGAGTCACAGAGTTATTTATTTTAGCTGTGTGCTTAGGGTCATTGTCTTGTTGCAAGGTAAACCTTAGGCCCAGTCTGACGTCTTGAGGACATCTAAAGAAGGAATTTGTCCAGGATATCTCTGTATTTGGCTGCATTCATCTTTAACTCGGTTGCAACTAGTCATCCTGTCCCTGCACCTGAAAAACACCCCATACAGCATGATGCTGCCACCATCATGCTTCACTGTTGGGACTCTCCTCCCCTGATAGCTTAGCCAGGCGGCCAGCTCTAGGGAGCAATCTGGTCGTCCCAAAAATCTTCTATTTAAGGATTATGGAGGCCACTGTGCTCTAAGGGCGTACTCACACTATGTACAGTTGCCTTGAACCGTGCTAAAGCACTCATGTCAACCCTCCCCTCTCCTCCGCTGGACCGCACTCACATTGCATCCAAGCCAGAGCACGCTTACGTCATGGATAATACGCTGTTTAGTTTCTTAGAAGAGAAGCACTCTCGCTCAGAGCAGTGGAGATTTCTTTAGTTATATCGTTTTAGTTGTTTGATATGCCGTGAACAGATCAGCCACTTTTGAAGCTCATAAATAATCATAAAGTCCTTGTGCTGCACATATTAGGAAGTTTGCTGAAGGTGCAGCTGACATGCAGCGAGGAGTTTTGGATTATTATGAACTCAGAAAGATGGAATAACTTTCTATCAAGAGGTTACATGTGCTGGTGAAGATGAAATACTATGGGCAATGTGGTGCAAGGCGGAGAATGACATCGACTGCAACTTTCTGTTGTTACGACCTCAAAAATGTCTAGGGCTGAAGTCGAACATAAAAATTATAGAGAAAATAAATAAACAGTTAGCAGGTTTGATTTTTAAATGACCTTTAAGGTTCTTTTATTGTGAGAAGGTGGAAAAGGTTTGTATTTACAATAAACAAATAAATGAGCGCAAACAAAAAGCTTCAGGGCTGAGCAAGGCCAAAATAACAAACAAAACATTTACTAACTCCACCCCGAAGATAACTTACCTACTGAATCAAAAATAAATGAAGAAAATAAATTACAAATACTACCCTTACTCTTTAACTAAATGAAAAAACAGGAGAAAATCAGTGTCAAAGTAAATGGCACTCAGCCCCTACGGCGCTCAGCTCACAGCTTTATCAAACAGTATTTGACAGTCACAAAAAAAATTGGAGGGGAGAGGAAAAAGGGAGAGAACACCTTAATGTTCACAATTTATAAACAACCAGAAGCACTATGATATGTTTTCCACACGAATGCCACACTCTTAGAAAAACTCTCCGTCTCTCCCCCCAGCGATGTCAGTACCTTTTCAAAAGATGCTGACTTCTCCCAGTACCAACCACAGCGCACGCACGCAGCACGTCCAATTAGGGCGGGGTAACTTGGAAACAGGAACGGGACAGGACGAGAGAGGGAAAAAGAGAGACACACACACAGCAGCACAGAAACAACCCAATACGCTCTTGCGTATAACACTGTCATACACCACACTCACCAAAAGGGGACAGTGGAACAGTGAAAACGCAAGCCTGATAAATGTGACCCATACTGACCCATACAGTGCAGTACTGTACCACTCAGTGAAAATGAACAAAAACTTCCTGTTAGATGTTTGTTGAACACTGAGTCTGAGATATAGCTTATAGTTTTGGAGATTTTATGTTTTGCATTTGATTGAGAGGTTTCAGAAATTATGTGACATAAAAAGAATTTGTGAGTAAGCAGTTGGAAAACTGAAACAAGGTTCTATGAACATGCTGAAACTATAATAGGGTTATATGTTTTGCTGAATTATGTACTTTCATGATTCCAAATGTTTCAAAGAATGTTTAAATAACGTGTCCTGTAATGCCAAGATAATAAGGTCACATACCCTTACATTTTTTGATAGTAAATAAATTATAGAAATATGTTGTGTATTTTATAATACTGCACAGAGAAGAAATATAACAAAACCTTAAAATGTATTTAGTATGATAAAACACAACTTCTACTTCCTCTCCACATGATCTTGACCGGAAGAACAGGATGTGGTCAACTAATAAATACAATTCTAAAAAAAGCTCTGCAGCTTTCGTGCTGCATCAGAGCTCTTATTTAGCTTTAATGGCTTTTAGGCTTACTCTGCTCTATATTATCATGAAAATAAGTTTTGAGTAATTTAGCTCATTCATGAACATGATTTTCGTGAGTCCTGTAGTATGTAATGAAAAACTCAGTCAGAGCGTTATCAAACTATGCTTTTGTTTGTTGTGAATACGTGGTGAAAATTACATAGTGTGCCTTTATGGTAAATACAAAAAATAAATAAATACAAATTTTTATTACAGAAAACTTTCAGATGCCTTACAGTTATTGATGTTAAACTGTCAATTGATTTTTATTTTCTTAATATCAGACAGAACCGACTCAAGCAGCCTATTTTTTAAAGTTTTCATTCATTAATTTTCCTCCGACTTATTAAAAAAACCCCTTATTTTTCAGGGATCGCCACAGTGAAATGAACCGGCAACTATTACAGGAAATGATTTACACAGCGGATACACTTGCATTCACACACTACAACCAATTTGGTTAATTAGCGAATGTCTTTGGACTGGTGGGGAAACTGGAGCACCTGGAGAAAACCCACGCGAACACGGAGAGAACATGCAAACTCCACACAGAAATGCCAACTGGCCCAGCCAGGACTCGAGCCAGCGACCTTCTTGCTGTGAGGCGACAGTGCTAACCACTGAGCCATCATGGCAACCATTTTTCAAGTTTTCACTATGGGTTTTCCTTTCAAAATCTTTTCAAAGTCTGCAAAAAAGAAACTACCACAAGTGCAAATTAGGCCCAGCTCACATTGTCTCATCTGAGACAAATTTTGGAAATTGTACATTTCTATAATCCCAGGTAAAAATCTGAGGTCTTAATTGTTGGTTTGACATGTTCTCTGACAGCCAACTAATGGCTATTGCAAGCAAATTTTTCCCTTCAATGAAGTCTCCAGTCTCAGATTTCAGACACTTTCCTGCAGTATGTTTTCTCTTATGAAGAGCATCAAAGCAAGAATCAATAGGAGCTCTGCACCTTATTATGCAATCAGCAAGATAGCTTCAATTCAACAACGTTTTTTAACATATCTTCCTTTTTACCTAACTGTTTAGCAACATTTATAACAGCTAATCTTCACTTATTTTTACCCTCAGAACCCAGCAAACAATTTTGGGCTTAATAAACGTCTAATTGACATCTAATCATAGCGTGGCTA